ATCCACTTATTAGTTAATCGGGTAATATTTTGTTACCCGGTAATTAATCAATTACTCGTAAAATTGAGAATTATTCCCACTTACTTGAAATATTACTCACTTTTCACATACCTTACTATTATGGTCATGTGTTACCTTGAATGGTACTAGTCCATAAATACCGAGTATTTTAGCTTGAGCCGTATTTTATCCCAAAATACAAAATTTCAATGAAATTCATTTACTTCGACTTGCTTCCCCTCTCACCTTCATGAATTTACTTATCACTTGTTTGAAATAGCATAATACTTAAAATATCAAAATAATCTCATCCCCAAACTTACGTCGATTAACTTATGACGAAACTTTAACATACGAAAATGTGGGATGTAACATCATTCCCCCCTTTGGAACATTCGTCCTCGAATGTTGGCTGGTGCTCTTATCATTTTCATAGCCTATGTCTTCCGAATACTTTAGTAGTCCTCTTGCCATCTAGGCAACTGTTTTGTGAATAAGTCCAAAGTCTAGGGTATTCTCCCCTTTTAGGCCTCTTTCCCACGTCATGACTTGTGATCAAATTCCTCCCAATCTCATAACTGTTGCTACCTCCAATCATGCAGCTTCTATGATACTGACCTTGTAAGTGTGCTTATGCGACTCTCCTCTCCTTTTTCCCCAGCCAATCCTGAAGTTCTTCGCTCTTTGTTTTTGTCAAACTTACGAATATTTCTATATCTTATTCTATAGACGTGGTTATCCATTCGTATGACTTCGCTGCATCTACATAGGTCATACTATACCATAATTCTTACCTCGACTTCTCGTTACTGAGGTTTGCTACCAAATCCTATGTTACTTTCATTGCTTATCCCATACGTATAAATCTATGTCTTCTAATGCTTCCACATTACTGTTCATCTTAAGAATGACAACTTAATCTCTTCTCATACTTTATAACTTTTATCCATTAATTTTGATCCATAATATACCACTGATAACTTAATATTTTATGTAATATTGCTGCTAGGATTTACGTTTTATCGGGGGACGTCTGAAATGATTAGACTGATCCACCTAGGGCGATATACTGCTTTCATAACCGTACCTCACAGCATCCCAATGCGATTCACCTTGTGTGGGTACCTTAATCCTGTCCAATTCATAAGATCCATTTCTTTTATTCGTTGAATCATTACTTAATCGAAGGCCCAAACGTCATTTTTTTTCTATCACAATTACATCCGCATTCTACTACCAGGGTGGCATTTTAAATGCTATTAGTCTTAGACTCTTTTGAGTTTATTTAGGCTATAATGAGCTTTGTATAATTTAGAGAAATCATCTGCTCTTCTTGTTTTCATGAGCGTAATTCTGAGGACTTATCCATTTTTGTTACTTTCTCACTTGCCCTTTCTTATCCTTACTCTTGTCTTCTAGAACCTTGTCGCTTCACCATACAATGGCTTGCGACCTACACAACTCTATTTATATTACTTGCAACCTTTCAACTTGCTTGTATCATAGATTTCCTTATGTCATTCTGGGACATCACATTGTCTCTAACTCTTCTTTACTGTATTAATTAGCCTCCTCGATACCTAGAAACCATAGGCTATGAGATATGCCATTGACTATGCCGCTATCATTCCTAGATATTGAATCTTCGTGCTTATAACCTTCTATCCAAAGTATGGACTATTCACAACTTTCTACATTTGAGTATCTCGTATGTTGTTCACTTTTACCTTACTTACTTAAAATCTCGTATCATATCTTTTATATCCTTCATAACCTCCCTTCTACCTAGGTGTAATTCACGTCCATAACTTGAAGATCTATTATAATACTCGCACCTCTAGTACATACATAATCCGGTGGGAGCTTTATAATGAATTCTTATAAGGCTAGTACTCTTCAGTTGGTTTCATCATAGAGCCGTTATAATTTATGGCTACTGCACTATCTCTCTTATGCCTCTGCTACTTGAGAGTGATCCTGAGGCCTATAATTCTCTTGGTCCCTTTTGTTTTGCTTAGTCAATGTAACTATTTAGTTTCCTCTTTTTTTTCTGATCAGCCTTTATGTAGGCTTAAGCTATCTTCCGATATGCGACTCCTGGTATTGGTTATTACTTTAGCCTTTCATAGGCGATGAGCGATATCCATGATAAAATCTTTTAATAATTCAATCCTTCGTCTATGACCTGGGCTCAATTCCTTCTTTTAACGTATACCAAAATCTTCTACGGCTATATATGTTGCAGGTATAGAACTCCAAACTCTTAAGTGCGTTCATAACGTCATCAACTCGGGATCATTGATTTAATAATTCCTTTGTTCCTTCTTCACTTCCTTTAACATAAGCTATTACTTTTCCTGGTCTTTTTGCACCTTTGTTACGTGCATACTTAGCTTATCTTAGTTCCCACGCATGCCAGAGTTTTCGTGCAACTCATATGATCTCGAATATTACTTTTAATTTTACTTCCCGTTCATTAACCACGGTAGGTACCCCTTTCCTTTTGAGTGCTTACAATGTTGTTGTGAGATTTGTTGTTACACGACAATTTTCTCTTTATGTCGTTGTGATTAGGTTGAAGCCTTCTTCCTTGTTTCTTCAGCTAGTCCTTCATCGTAGTACTTAGGGAAGACTCTTTGGCTCCTGTAAAGTTGTAAGCCTATTACATTGTATACTCGACGGACCTTCTAATGTCCTTTCTTTCCTATACTTATCCATAGTTACTTACTTCTATGCTCTTGTGCTTGTAGGGTTGCTTTTGAAGTAATATTTTGACTGTCTTCCAGTGGCACTCTTATTTATTTCCGTAAAACTCATACGGTACCTTTAACTACCCTGACTCTTATTTGAATATATCTCCAGTATTATAATGACATTACTGCGAGGCTGAATTCTCCATATTGGGGTATACTACATTTATCTTGCATGATTTGCTGATTTGTCTGTAACTTCTTGACTGGCCATAACTAAGCTTTTCCTGAATCAATTACTAACTACTCGTTGGCCCATTCTCATATCAATATTTCGTGAAATTCTTTCTTGGGTTATTTCCTTGGTCTTAACTTATGTCTCACACTGTCTCCTTAATTATCAATAACATCTCGAGCAGGAACCCTTACTTCCTCTCATTGACGTCGTATTTGCATAATGTTCTGGAATTGTAGCATATACGTAGGAGCTGAATAAGTGTAATCTCATTCTTTTTTCGTGTTTACCGCATTCTTCATTTATTACTCCATATTCCCCCCTTTAGGGGAGTACTATGACTTGGAGCTATGACGACCAACCTACAGATATTTTTCCTCTTTATCTTTGGCATCCTTTCACACCATCGATGACTCTTACTCGCCTTGCGGTAATCCTTCCGTACCAAGGATAACAAATCCCCTTACTCACGAGGGTGACACTTAATGTAACTGGTACATACAGTCCCTTAAGCTTAACTTTGCTAATATTGCTTGCTTTAGGGAAGCATCTTCCTGAATGAACATCCTCTGAATTTCTCATGAACCTTCTTCTATTGTCCGTCCTATTATTGCCAGAATACGATATGAAATTCTTATGATGCCGACTATTATCAACTCACTCAGTCCCTATTTCATGTT